GGTTCCCATCAGTTTTGATCATTTCTGAAGTCAAAATCGCCGAAATCCCGTTATTCCTATTCAAAGAGACGAGGTGAGGCAGCGCTCCTGCGTGCCTCACCCCAGACCGCTCCCTCACAGTGTGTGTGTCTGAGTGCACTCAGCTCGTGCAGTTGATATATCACCGTTTGTTTCAAATATCCTGCTTTAAAAACATTTTTTAAACTCCTCTTAGTGTTTAGTAGTGTATTGCACGTATGTGTGTACAATTTATATTTAGTTTAAGTCTTTTGATCGTAGATGAACACACAAGGAAAAAGCTTGGCGTGAGGCAGGCGGTATCTGTGCCTCACCGCTAGGGGTGATAGTGAGCATAAAGTTCATACCAGAGTTGCTAACAAACAATCAGCCCAAAATGCTATTTCTTTTGCTGGAAAATGGATGATTTGAATGAAGATTTTTTTTCTCAATTGGACTTTCAAACAAAGAAAGAATTAATATAGACTGGGAGACCACCACTGGACTTACGAGGTTAGTCCGGCTGCGGGGGAGGAGTTTGTTAATCTGTGTTTTATGTTGAACATTGACAGATACCGGCAAAGTAGTGCTTTTCCGAAAAACACTGATTCAAACACTGCTCAAGAGTTCTGCAACTTGTTTAAATTATTGTTTATGTTCCTCGCGTCTCTCTCTCCTCGCGTCTCTCTCTCCTCGCGTCTCCGTCTCTCTCTCCTCGCGTCTCCGTCTCTCTGCTCCTCTCTGTCTCTCTCTGCTCCTCTCTGTCTCTCTCTGCTCCTCTCTCCTCGCGTCTCTCTCTCCTCGCGTCTCTCTCTCCTCGCGTCTCCGTCTCTCTCTGCTCCTCTCTCCTCGCGTCTCTCTCTCCTCGCGTCTCTCTCTCCTCGCGTCTCCGTCTCTCTCTCCTCGCGTCTCCGTCTCTCTGCTCCTCTCTGTCTCTCTCTGCTCCTCTCTGTCTCTCTCTGCTCCTCTCTCCTCGCGTCTCTCTCTCCTCGCGTCTCTCGCACCTGCGCTTCTTAAAGATGTTGTTTGATGCGGAGCAGAGTCAGCAGCTAGATTTGTTGTGAGATTATTAAAAGAAGCTGGTTCTCTTATCTTTACAGTATATAAAGTTTGTGGATGTCATTGCATTGGTGATTAAATGCTATTTTATTTGAATAATGATTGTAAATCTGACTTTTAAAGTCAGTGCCTCCCCAATCACAAACCTCACCGCACGTCCCTGGTGATTTCCTCAATAAAATCAACACTGTCTGCTTCAAAGCGTTTGGTCTGGACACAATTAAACAGTTTACAATAATGCTTACGCCAGAGCTCAGCAATTGCATTTGCACCAGAGACTCCATCCACTGAACATGGCAGTGAAGGTTTGCAGTTATTTGTACGTTTCACTTCTTTCCAAAAATCATTGTTTGTGTTATCTAAAAGTCTGTTGGCCATAGACTCTGCCCTCAGACGCTGCTCATTCTTACATATGAAACGTATTGCATATTTACATTTTGCATTTGTGCTCTTCTTATGTTCAAAAATGGGCCCTTGTCTTGGCTTTCCAGCTTCAGCCCATGATCTAGTGGCTTCACGAGCCTCAGCAGAGAATTCAGCCACAGAATCATTCCACCCAGGCAGAGTTTTTCCTCTCTTCTTATGCTTAAGGAAAGGCTTACTAGCTTCAAGTAAAGCAGAGACAATTGCGCTATACAAAGTAGAGATATCAGTGCTATGTTCACGCTTTGAACAATTACCATCTTTGCACAGGAGGGCCTCTTTAGCGATGTATACATTACTCAATCATTGATCAGTGTAGTCATAGTAAAATGACAATTCTTCACATGTCAAAGAGGACCAATCTAAGAAGCCCTGTTTTGGATTATTATTACATTTTATAGTTGAAGGTAAGCTGTCAAACTTGATCACCATTTTAACAGGAATGTGATCAACAGTGGAGAAATCATATAAAATGTCCATATGTGCCAAGGATGCGTGGGCATCTGATGTAGAGAGGCAATGGTCTAGCAGGATGTGGTGTGCCAGGCCTGCCTTATATGGGTATAACTATCAACAGGAAGGAGCTCTCTGCTGGACAGTATTAGATTATTATCAGAACACAAATGATTAAGATGTTTAGCAAATGCTGACCTGTTCTCTGAGATATCGGCATTCATATCACCAATAATAAAAACATTTGAAAAACATTCGTTTTGTACATAAGAACTAATGAATGCAAGCTTATTTACATAATCTTCTTCATTTTGATGGCATTCATATGGAGTGTAAATATTTAAAATGACACATTCCTTATCATCACGTATCAGACGTACAGCAATGCACCAGTCCACTCCAAGCCTGACTACATTTATCGCTGGGTCCAGCTTCTTATTCCATAGAGTTGCCACACCTCCTGGGATTCTGCCCCTTATTATCCCCAGGCTGAGGTCAGTGGTGGACTCTCCAGCACCATGAAAACTGTCATTTATGGAGTTCAAACCAGACAAATCCTGCATTGCGAGGAACGTTTCCTGCAGGCAGAGAATGTTACACTGCTCCAATAACTGATCAACAATAAAACGGCGAGCCTTATCCTCCGCGGTTTGGCCCAAACGCAGGCCACGGCAGTTGTAGGATAGGACGCGTATATCCATAGTCAATACTAAGCATGTCTATTCCTCGCTGTTTTCATTGCCATTCACAGCTTGGGCAGTAGAAGCACTAGCGCGGCTAGAGCCAGGACCAGAGCTACCTGTAGCTGTAGCTTGTTTCCTCCGAGGTTCATAGTATCTCCTAACGAACACACCAGCTGGCCAGAGTTCGGGCACATACATGTCTTCATTACATTCCGCCGTTATATGGAATGAGCTGAATCTCCCGTGCGCAGACTCAATTTTACGGCATTGAACATCCCGGCCCAGCTTCTCACTCAAGTATTCCTTGAGCATGTCAGCTTCCAAACTTGGATCAAACTTAGTTGCAAAAACACTCACCAGTTTAGTCCTGATGGGCGTATGTTTGATCCGGCTCCTGTTCCAACTATGCCCGGGGTTTTACGCTCTGGAAGAAGGCATACGTGGCTTTGGACCACTATTCTTAGGATCCAATGCTTTCTGTCGCCGTCCTTCCCGCACGACGAGGCTCCAAGCTGGGGAAGACGCCGGCTCTGCTGCTGGTGGCACAGAGCGCGCCGGGCGTGCAGGACTCCCCTGCTGTGCGCCACCGCTGGAGTGCCGCTCAGCTCCGGTGGTGGGTTCAGGGACCCCACTGTGATTCTCCATTACAGTGACGCGCTGTCCAAGCAGGCCGTAACCGCGCGTATGCTTTCGAAAGCGCTGGTTTGTTCCTCCATGGACTTTTTCATACACTTGACATCAGCGTTTACTTGCTCCATCCGGGCCAGCAGTGCAGATGCATCGATGTGGTTAAATGAAACAGGGGCAAGTCGTCCAGATAATGTGACACAAATCTTGGTATATTGTCCCCACACTCATTAATGACTTTCATGCAAAGTTTCACATTATTGATGTCCTTAAGTGCTCCTTTGTGCATAACGCAGCGTTGCGAGGAACCTGGGCAGACCTCGAACAAAACTTTCTTGGAGGCCTCAATGCGCTCAGAGCTCAAATTGTTTGTAACCAGCATTACAATTTCATCACGACACATTGTCCTCATTTTCACCACTATAAAATTCAAAAGTTCATCTTCAACGAGAACTTTACCATCGTTGGATTTGAATATCTCCGGTTTTATTCGTGAGAAGGCATTACCAGCCAAGCGGCGCATCTCATCCGCCGCCATGACACTCCATGTCACTAACACTCAAGCCACTCAACCACGATCGTATTCGCTGACACAGGGACCAGACCCAGACGCTACATGCAGTGGACGGATGGATAAGGCCAGGCTAGAATTTACCCACTGTGTAAAAGGATCTCTCAATCTTAATCTGCAGGTGATAGCCAGATCCTGTCAGACCTCAAAAGCTAAGCAGGACAGGGCCTGGTTAGTCATGTGATGGGAGACCTCTGAGAGCACTCGGGTTGCTAAACTGTGGTTATGTCCTTAGGCAAGACACTTCCCCCACAATAGAGTGTGTGTATGTGTGTGTGTGTGTGTGGTGGGAGGGGCCTGAGAGTCTCTCTAGGTTCTTCTTATCAGCGAAAGTTAATGATCAGACAGAGTGAAACTGGGAGAGGCCTCTCTGTTTATACAGACTCACACCTGGTCTCACACATGGTCTCATGCCTGGTCTCATGCCTGGTCTCACGCCTGGTCTCACGCCTGGTCTCGCGCCTGGTCTCACGCCTGGTCTCATGCCTGGTCTCGCGCCTGGTCTCACGCCTGGTCTCGCGCCTGGTCTCACGCTGGTCTCACGCCTGGTCTCACGCCTGGTCTCACGCCTGGTCTCACGCCTGGTCTCACGCCTGGTCTCACGCCTGGTCTCACGCCTGGTCTCATGCCTGGTCTCACGCCTGGTCTCACGCCTGGTCTCGCGCCTGGTCTCGCGCCTGGTCTCGCGCCTGGTCTCACGCCTGGTCTCACGCCTGGTCTCATGCCTGGTCTCACGCCTGGTCTCACGCCTGGTCTCACGCCTGGTCTCACACATGGTCTCACGCCTGGTCTCACGCCTGGTCTCACGCCTGGTCTCGCGCCTGGTCGCACGCCTGGTCTTCTGGTCTCACACATGGTCTCACGCCTGGTCTCACGCCTGGTCTCACACATGGTCTCACGCCTGGTCTCACGCCTGGTCTCACGCCTGGTCGCACGCCTGGTCTTCTGGTCTCACGCCTGGTCTCACACCTGGTCTCACACCTGGTCTCACACCTGGTCTCACGCCTGGTCGCACGCCTGGTCTTCTGGTCTCACGCCTGGTCTCACACCTGGTCTCACACCTGGTCTCACACCTGGTCTCACACCTGGTCGTCCCCCCCTCCTCACCCAGTGCAGCAGCGTCCCCCCCCCTCCTCACCCAGTGCAGCAGCGTCCCCCCCCTAGTGCAGCAGCGTCTCCCCCCTTCCTCACCCAGTGCAGCAGCGTCTCCCCCCTTCCTCACCCAGTGCAGCAGCGTCTCCCCCCTTCCTCACCCAGTGCAGCAGCGTCTCCCCCGTCTCCCTGGCTGGTTGGTCCCACAGGATGTTGCTCTTCCCGTGTCTCCAGATCTTGCTGCGTGTCTTGTAGGAGTAATAAGCAGCGAAGGCCAGCGCCAGGACCACCAGGACCCCCAGGACCAGGGCCACGGACTGAGGACACACAACACCACAGGCTTTGGTTCAGGACACACAACACCACAGGCTTTGGTTCAGGACACACAACACCACAGGCTTTGGTTCAGGACACACAACACCACAGGCTTTGGTCTCCTCCACAACTTCTGAGTCAGTTACATTTTAGAACAGATGAACATGTGGTTGTTTTCCTGAGACAGTATGAAATGAGCAGTGACCGCGTCTGCATCGAGAAACATTGTTGGAAATCATCTCAGGGGAAACTAAAAATGGTCTCGCTCGCCGGGTCTGTCTGTCTGTCTGTCTGTCTGTCTGTCTGTCTGTCTGTCTGTCTGTCTGTCTGTCTGTCTGTCTGTGTGTGTGTCTTGTATGTGTGTGTCTGTCTGTCTTGTCTTAAGTTGTATGTGTGTGTGTGTGTCTGTCTGTCTGTCTGTAAGTAAGTAAGTAAGTAAGTTTGTATTTATATACCGCCTTTTCACTGCAGATCTGAGTCTCAAAGCGGTTTACAATTGTTAATTTTGGGCATTTGTCTCTCACTCCACACAGAGATGGGAGCGGGGTCGCCAGTACAGGAGGCGCATGCCAGAACTATTGGACATATTTTTAGTGGTAGGGGAAACCGGAGTACCCGGAGGAAACCTACGCAGACACGGGGAGAACATGCAAACTCCACTCAGAAAGGCCCTGGTCCGGCCAGGATTCGAACCCAGGACCTGTCTGTGTGTGTGTGTTTGTCTGTGTGTGTGTGTGTGTGTCTGACCTCCTCTGGGTCCATGTAGCAGTAGTGGTGCAGGTACTGGGAGTACATGGGGAACCCTCCAGGGAAGCCCCCCCCGGCAGCGGCGCTCAGACTGGGACGTCCCGGAGCCCCCCCGCTCTGACACATCATCAACATGGGGTTATACAACATGCTCTGGGAACTCTGGGACATCGGGTTCACTCCGATCACAAAGATGATGTCGATGATTCCCTGACCACCAGAGAGAGGGAGGGAGGGAGGGAGGGAGGGAGGGAGGAGAGACCAGAGAGAGACCAGAGAGAGACCAGAGAGAGACCAGAGAGAGACCAGAGAGGGAGGGGGGAGAGACCAGAGAGAGACCAGAGAGAGACCAGAGAGAGACCAGAGAGGGAGGGGGGAGAGACCAGAGAGAGACCAGAGAGAGAGAGAGGGAGGGAGGGAGAGAGGGAGGAGAGACCAGAGAGAGACCAGAGAGGGAGGGAGAGACCAGAGAGAGACCAAAGAGAGAGGGAGAGACCAGAGAGAGGGAGGGAGGGAGGGAGGGGGGGAGAGACCAGAGAGAGACCAGAGAGAGACCAGAGAGGGAGGGAGAGACCAGAGAGAGAGGGGAGAGAGACCAGAGAGAAACCAGAGAGAGAGAGAGGGAGGGGGGGAGAGACCAGAGAGAGCCCAGAGAGAGAGAGAGGGAGGGGGGGAGAGACCAGAGAGAGAGAGAGGGGGGGGGGGGGGACCAGAGAGAGAGAGAGAGGGAGGGAGGGGGGGAGAGACCAGAGAGAGAGAGAGGGAGGGAGGGGGAGAGACCAGAGAGAGACCAGAGAGAGAGAGGGAGGGGGAGAGAGACCAGAAAGAGAGGGGGTGAGGGAGGGGGGGAGAGACCAGAGAGAGAGAGAGGGGGGGAGAGAGACCAGAGCGAGAGAGGGGAGGGGGGAGACCAGAGAGAGAGAGAGTGAGGGGGGGAGAGACCAAGAGAGACCAGAGAGAGAGAGAGAGGGAGGGGGGGGGGGGGACCAGAGAGAGAGAGGGGGGGGGGAGACAGAGAGAGAGAGAGAGGGAGGGGGGGGGAGAGAGACCAGAGAGAGAGAGAGAGGGAGGGAGAGGGGGAGAGACCAGAGAGAGACCAGAGAGAGAGAGGGAGGGGGAGAGAGACCAGAAAGAGAGGGGGTGAGGGAGGGAGGGAGAGAGAGACCAGAGAGAGAGATCAGAGAGAGACCAGAGAGAGAGCAGAGAGATAGGGAGGGGGGAGGGAGGGAGATAGAGACCAGAGAGAGGGAGAAAAACCAGAGAGAGAGAGAGACAAGAGAGAAAGCAGAGAGAGGGAGACAGAGACCAGAGAGAGAGAGGGGGGGGGAGGGAGGGAGGGAGAGAGAGAGAGGGAGAGAGAGGGGAGGGAGAGACCAGAGAGAGTGGGGGAGGGAGGGAGAGAGAGGGAGACAGGTGTGAATTCAAAAATACTCTAAATCATTGTATTTTAGTTGATATTTAATGATCGTCTGAACCTGAGCAGTTCTGGGTCATTCAGATTCTTTCAGACCAACTTTTCGGGTGTTAATCTTCTGCTTTTAATCCTCTTGAGCTGGAGTGAGGGTTTTCTTCAGTAAATGTGAAATAATGTAGAAAACTGTGTCAATGATCGACCCTCACTCCGCCTAGTGGCAGGAGTGACGTACTATACTCTGAGGCTACAGTCGAAGCAGAAACTCATTTGGAAAAAGTTTCATTGGAAAAAACTGCTTAAAACTGGTCAAAAATCTAGAAAAAAATTAAACATTTATCTATATTTATGTGTTTAATTCTTGCAGATTGAGCAGAAAGAGTGAGAATGACTGTGTGTAACATGAGCCGAGATCAGAAACACAATCTGACAATCTGAGAGCACAGGGCCGAGAGCACAGGGCCGAGAACACAGGGCCGAGAGCACAGGGCCGAGAGCACAGGGCCGAGAGCACAGGGCCGAGAACACAGGGCCGAGAGCACAGGGCCGAGAGCACAGGGACGAGAACACAGGGCCGAGAGCACAGGGCCGAGAGCACAGGGCCGAGAGCACAGGGCCGAGAACACAGGGCCGAGAACACAGGGCCGAGAACATAGGGCCGAGAGCACAGGGCCGAGAGCACAGGGCCGAGAGCAAAGGGCCGAGAACACAGGGCTGAGAACACAGGGCCGAGAGCACAGGGCCGAGAGCACAGGGCCGAGCACAGGCCACACAGGGCCGAGAGGGCCGAGAACACAGGGCACAGCCGAGACAGGCACAAAGGGCCGAGAGCACAGGGCCGAGAGCACAGGCCGAGAGCACAGGGCCGAGAACACAGGGCCGAGAGCACAGGGCCGAGAGCACAGGCCAGGGCCGAGAACACCAGGGCAGGAGAGCACAGGGCCGAGAGCACAGGCCGAGAGCACGGGCCGAGAGCACAGGGCCGAGAACACAGGGCCGAGAACACAGGGCCGAGAACACAGGGCCGAGAGCACAGGGCCGAGAGCACAGGGCCGAGAGAGCACAGGGCCGAGAACACAGGGCCGAGAACACAGGGCCGAGAACATAGGGCCGAGAGCACAGGGCCGAGAGCACAGGGCCGAGAGCACAGGGCCGAGAGCAAAGGGCTGAGAACACAGGGCTGAGAACACAGGGCCGAGAGCACAGGGCCGAGAGCAAAGGGCTGAGAACACAGGGCTGAGAACACAGGGCTGAGAGCACAGGGCTGAGAGCACAAAGAGTCCGATACTGACTCACAGGGATCTTTGTTTTCGGCGTGTTTGTTTGTTTCTCATTCTGCATTTTCTGTTCAAACTGTTTGATTTTCTGATCTGTGTTTACGAATCGGCAACTTTGTAGACAGCTCAGATACGACCGTTGCACTACTGCACAAAATACATTGTTGTGTTGGAAGAGTGAGAGGGTTTTAAACTCCCGGCCTCCTGCTGGGACTCTGGGGAGCACAGGGACCGGCCTCCTGCTGGGACTCTGAGGAGTACAGGGACCGGCCTCCTGCTGGTCCCAGAGTCAGGACTAAACATGTGGAGGCAGCGTTTCAGATTCATGCAGCTAAAATCTATGACAGTCTTCCTGAAAATGTGAGACGGACGAGGAAAGGATTGTATCTTGTTACGGGCCAGGCCCTTACTGTCCAGGAGAGGGAGCTGTCTGGGGTTTGCCTGCCTTCTCTGCTGTCTCCTCCTCTGTGCAGGTCCACACCTGCAACATGCCACGCCCGTCATCAATGGGTTTTTTCACCTGGGAGCTGAGAGCTGCTCACTCTCCTCCTCGCCTCCTGTTCTCCTGTTCCCCGGTGCTGCTGCTCGGCTGGGTCCTGTCTTGGTGGGCTCTTCTTGAGCCACCATGTCCATTCCTTTGTTGCACATTTGAGTTTGTCTTTTGGTTTACGCACCACATTCACTGCACACCACACACAGGCTTTCATTGCACTCACACACCTGCACCACACACTGATTACAACATGCTCACACCCCATACCTTGGTTTTTGTCCATGTTATACTCTTTTGTTATTATTAAATATACTTTTTGCACTTTTTACCCCCGTTTCGCCTCCCTATTTGTTGTGGCCCTGAGCCGGCCGTAACAAGTTGGGGGCTTCGTCCTAAAAACCCGCATTTGTTTGAGGTAAATATCATTTTGTGTTATCTGTGATATTTTTTGGTAAACTGGTTTTGTTTGAGAGCGCTTTTGTTTGGTCTTGTGTCAGCTCTTGTTTGTTTGTTGGTTAAGTGCCATTTTGAATTGAGCTGTACCTGGAGTTTGGTGTGACGGGCTCAGTGGGGGTTTTTCCTGTGACGTCATTTTGGTTAGTGCGCTTTGTGGGAGACGTGCGGGAGGTATTTTTTGGTCTTCAGGATTTTGTGCTGTTTGAGAGCAGGTCAAAAAAATGTCATCCTAGTTGGTCAGCCGTGGCTGTTTGTAAAGACGCAGAAGGTAAGTGTATAAATTGTAATGTGTGCTAAAAGTTAAAAGTTGAGGAATCCCTGGTAGGCTTAGCAGTGTTTCCCAACAGGGGGTTCACTGCATTTTTTTTGGGGGGCTTTTAGTGTGGAAGTTAAGAGCGGGTCGTAGCTTCCATTTCCCCTTTTCCCTACATCGGCTCGGGAGCGCGCCGTGGTCACTTGATTGACAACTTGGTCGTCTTGTGTACCATCGGTATCTGGCGCATAAAAACCCATCGCCACGCTTCCCGAAGACTAGGGTTTGAGGTAGTAAGCTTTTGGGTAGGTAGTTAGCGGGGTATCCTTGACTTTATAGGACACATTGGTAGTTTATCACTTAAGCTTCTGGGGGTCTGTTTTGTGATCATGGATGATGTGGTTGAGGAATTTCTGGAGGAACCATGTGAGAGTGATTTGAAGCTCTGCACTAAAAGGCATTTAATTGCGATTGCAGAGTTTTACAAAGTTTTTATTGGGAATTCAACTGTCTTGAGGAGTGTTCTTGAGGACAATTTGAAGAAACAATTATTTGGAATGGGCATTTTGGTTTCACCTGTGGGTTTGACTTTTGAGCAGCAAAAAGAGCTACTGTTAGTCCAAGTAGAGGCAGAGAAAGAACGTGCAATGATGAGGCTGGAGGTTGAAATGGTTAAGCATGACATTGAACAGCAGAAACTTATTTTGGAGAGACAGGAAATGCAGGGTAGTCCTATACCTGAACATGCAGAGGATGAACTTGTTCCGGAGGCTCGCGGACAGCGTTTTTGTTGGGGGAGACAAGTTTATATTACAGGTAGCCAGGTCGGGGCTGAGGTGCCTCCTCCAGTCCAGATGACCGAGGCTCCGGTGGTATGTAGTAAACCTGATGAAACTGAGATGTTTCCTGAGCTAGTTCTTCCCTGTCCTGTGGCACACAACGTCCTGGTGGTGGCGCAGAAGTCCGGTGCTTTGGAGGGATTAGTGCGTGACACTGTACACCCGGTGGTGGGTTCTTTAAAGTGTTGTGATGCTGTGTTACAGTTCTGTCATGACCAGAGCAGCCATCGTGGGGTCAGGATCACTTGTGGCCAGAGCTGGTCTATTTCTTCGGGTCCTTTTTCACTCTCTAGTCTAGAGATGCTGGGCTCTGAGGTATGGGTGACTTGTCCTATTGAGAGTGCTGGCGTTGACGCTAAATCGCAACGCTCGTGGCATCCGGGAGAACGGAAGGTGCTGGAGAGGGGAGTACAGTATGTTGTGGTTTTGCTGTTCCCTCTCACGCTAGCAGGGCTTCACAATGTTTGCTGGGGCCAAGCTCGGATGACGCGTCTGGAGACTATGGGGACTGGTCTGGAAGCTGGTGCCAGGTCCGTTCTGGTGGAAACATGGATGCTTCAGCCCACCGTGCAAGCGACACTGGGACGGCACGGTGGAGACCCAAAGTCCCGGGGCCTACTCTATTTTGGAGGTACATTGCTTGACGCCACTTTCACTGAGTTTCTTCCAACCGTTTGAGATGCCTAGTTGCTGGATGGAATGTCCTTTGAGCTGCTCAGAGGATTTTATTTTTTGTTTGGGTCTTATGAAGGGCCTAGTTGGGTCCCTTTCTTGTAGGGGGGGGGGTGTTACGGGCCAGGCCCTTACTGTCCAGGAGAGGGAGCTGTCTGGGGTTTGCCTGCCTTCTCTGCTGTCTCCTCCTCTGTGCAGGTCCACACCTGCAACATGCCACGCCCATCATCAATGGGTTTTTTCACCTGGGAGCTGAGAGCTGCTCACTCTCCTCCTCGCCTCCTGTTCTCCTGTTCCCCGGTGCTGCTGCTCGGCTGGGTCCTGTCTTGGTGGGCTCTTCTTGAGCCACCATGTCCATTCCTTTGTTGCACATTTGAGTTTGTCTTTTGGTTTATGCACCACATTCACTGCACACCACACACAGGCTTTCATTGCACTCACACACCTGCACCACACACTGATTACAACATGCTCACACCCCATACCTTGGTTTTTGTCCATGTTATACTCTTTTGTTATTATTAAATATACTTTTTGCACTTTTTACCCCCGTTTCGCCTCCCTATTTGTTGTGGCCCTGAGCCGGCCGCAGTGTTGCCAACTCCTCAGTAAGGAAAGTAGCTATTGGCTGTCCCAAAAGTCGCTAGAAGTCGCTAAATGACGTCATCGCCTAATTTGCATAATTTGCCATTTGCAAATAACTGTAACGGACGCTGTAGGAGAGAGGAATAAGGTCGTGGGAGAGACAAAAGTGAGTAAAAACACCCTAAATATGTTTAGAACTACAAATGTACAAATAATTTCAACATTAACAACATTTAATGATTTTAATGCTTTGTCTAGATCCACATTACACACATCAGTTTTGTCCTGTATTGTTAAATGTTATAACAGCAAATGTAATCAAAAGATTGTTATGTAGGGTGAAATTGCTAGCTCTACAACCAACCCTCCTCCTTTATCCGGGCTTGGGACCGGCAAAGTGACCCAAAAGACACACTCTGGCAGAGTTACTTAGGTTTATTTTTGTAAGTTTTTTTTTTTTCATAGTTTGGCATAACAAATGATTTAATGTGACCCACTACTGAGAGAAAACAGAGTCACGGACAGAGCTGCCGCGGATGGAGTGGGGGGTAGTGGGGGGTGGCGGTGGTAGGAGTGGCCGGGGAGCTTTGGATGTGTGGTGGTGGTGGAGCTGAAGTTCAGTCTGCAGCAGCCTGAAAACTTCCTGTGCTTTTGAGTCTCCTCTCTCTCTCTCTGCTCCGCCCATAGACTGTAGCTAGGACTGCTGCGCAAGGCTACTGTGAGACTGGCCGCCTGTAAGTGCTTTGGGACGGGGGAGGGGCTCACGTTGAGGACAGCAGAACAATACGTGCTTCACGAGTCTCCAAAACACCAGATAAGTCGCCAAAACACCAGATAAGTCGCCAGTAACACCAGAAAAAGTCGCTAGATTTGTTGCTAGTCGCTTTTTTGAAAAAAAGTCGCTATAGGGGTCTGAAGTCGCTAAATCTAGCGACAAAGTCGCTAAGTTGGCAACACTGGCTGGCCGTAACAATCTTCACTCTTTTTAATGCACAGTGATTATTTATGATTCTTGCTTTGCCTCGATCTATTTTGTGTAGTTTGTTTGTGGACGTTTAAACTTGTTTTCTTGTGATAAAAAACATAATAATAAAATAATAACAATAATGACATGTAAATGGGGAGTTACCTGCAGCACGGCGAGGATGATGTCGCACACGAACACGGCGAGATAGAACCTGGCGCCCCTCATGGACCGCGAGCGCGAGAAGCTGCCGACCAGGAATCCCAGCGACACCAGGAAGTTCACCGCCGCCATCGCAATCATGGCCGACTTGGCTGCGTGCGGCGTCATGTACGAGCTCCCGTAACCGTAGCTACCTCCATAGTACGTCCCCGCCCCTCCCCCTCCTGGCCCCGCCCCCACCCCAACCCCCACCCCGCCATACCCAGCGTACCCGAACCCGCCCACGTCCCACACCAGCGTCGAGGCCACGCAGGCGAAGATCAGGAAGCACATGAGCACCGTGGCGCCCTGGAACGTCTTCACGGCGCCCGGCGGGGAGAACCAGCGGTAGAAGTGCTGCGGCCGGCCCTCCCAGGTGTCGTGGTAGTAGTAGGAGTCGGGGGAGGCGAGGTGGCGGTCATGGTGGAGGGTGTAGAGGGGGGAGTGGGGGCTTCGGGGCGGGTAGAGGCTGCCAGTGCTGAACTTGGGGCTGTAGAGCGGCGGGCTGTCGTACGGCGCGTCAAACATGGTGCAGGACGGAGGAGGCGGTCACCTGCGAGACACACGGAATGGTACATACTCGAGTACATTAGATTACTTTCAAATGAAGCTGAAGCGCAAACTCAGACTGAAAGACCGGCCATGGCTCCTGCTCTGGCTCCTGCCCTGGCTCCTGCTCCGCCTACGCCCCGTTCACACCATGCTTCTAGCCACCACCAGTGCTTAACTCCGGGGGGTCTGAGATCATCTATAGCAAGTGTCACTGCCGGGGTCAATGCACCAAACAAATAAATCTTTTTCATGCATTAATGTTTCTCTTCAGATTGAAATACATTTAGAGAACGAGGAAAAGAGGGAATCGTTTTGTGGAATCTGACCTCCATATTTTGTACCGTGGACCCCTCTTATAATAGTTGGCTCCGTTAGCGGCAAAGGAGATGGCTAAAGCTAGGCTAAAGGCTAAAGCTAGGCTAAATGCTAAATGCCTCACTCACTCGGGCTCATTACAAACGTCACAGTAAACTCTGTAAAAGGAGTTAACCCCTCCCCCCTGTTAACGGAGTCAATGGAGCAAATCCAGACCTTAGTATGAAATGAAATGAGTACAATGGTGTGGTACGACCAGGCGAGTGTTATATCCGCATTACTGCTAAACTTTATTATCTGAAGAACTGAATCTAATTGTTCTGAGCCTCATTGTGACAGTATCTACATCTGAAGCATGGGTCATTAATATCTCAGTGACGACGTCTTCTGCTCTGATGCATTTTGAGACGAAATATATAAAAAGCCTCGTCTCCTCTAGTTCCATCTGGAGGGACTCGGAAATGAACCATGTAGCTTAACTCTTTAATGTTCGCTCCTTGGAGAAAACAATATAATTTGTTATTTTTGGGGGATTTTCTAAGCTGTAGGACGATAATAATTCAATTTTACGTTTTTTGTTTTGTTATTTTTAACCCCTAGTTTCTTAATTACAGGCCTTTACCAAAGAGTTGAGATGCAGTTTGATGGTAAAAGTGCCTAAAACTAGCTAAAATGCCCTAAAGAGGTAGATTTCAGTTCCAAGGTTTGAGTAGAATAGATATAGTGACTCATCAAAGCGATCCGCCAAATTAAAGGGTTAAGCGGAACTTCTCAGCCAATCACAGAGCACTCCCAACTTCCCATACCAATCCAGCCGGCACTGTAAAACCAGAAACTTCCCACTTACTAAGGCCTGATGTGTGATTTTTGTTGGATGCAGAGGACATTTTGTGGTTGTAGTTGGGGCATCATTTTTGTTATGAATTGTGGTGTTTATCTGTGTTGTTGTTAGGCCCTGAAATAATGCAAATACAGACTTGTTTTTAACGTGATTGTAAAGTGTGTCCTTAAACCTGCTCCTGTTGCACTGGTTTGAAGTGAGCTCAGTCTGTGTCCAGAGCAGAAACTGGACTCCAGGTTCAATTATTCACCAGCGACGGCTTTTCAGAACAACCAGAGACTGAAGCGACACACAGGGCACATTTATTTCACTGTATTTAAGTGTTTCCTCAAACTGGAGCAGACGGCTTCATGGCTCACATGTCCGATACTACGAAACACTAAAATATCACTTTTTGCTCTTCTGGATTGATATAAGTCCCATGTTGTATTGACAAAGACTTTCAAAATGCAAGTGATATTATCAGATAGAGCGTCCAATCAGCGTTGGGCACAGTGCTGGCAGCTTCAGCTCCAGCATTTCTTATAATGGTTAATTCAGCTTTAAAGGTCCTATATCACGCTTTTCTTCATGTTTCACACTCAATCCTATACACATGTGTGATATTAATGTGTATGATACACCACACAACAATCAAAGCTTGTGAGATTAGAGCCATCTCTTGTATAGAGGTGACGTCACCTCGACTCAAACGAGCTGATCCAGAGAAGAGTCTGCTCCTCTGTCTGTGAGCCCGCCTCCCCCCGCCCGCACGGTGACGTAGCATCACGCTTTTGTCGTTTATCACCTGTACTTAGTAATTTCATACATAAGAATAAACTTTTTCCAACAATGATAATCCGTCACATCGAGTCCTATGTCCTCGATGCACAATCAGACCCTAGTTATTTAGTTTACAGAAGTATACAGCGAGTTAGCGTCACTACTTACAGATCGAGGGGGTCCGAGTTACGTCTTTTACCGTGGGAATAACTTGTTTCCAGATCAGCCTTTGAGTAAGTCCAGTTCCATTGTCCCTGTAGTTCTGGAACAGTCTCAGTGAAGTGTCGCAGATGAACCGGTTTATAATAGATCCATGAGATGAACAGATGAAAAAAGTCGAGCCGCTTTCTTCCTCTTCGGGCCAAATAGTGTGTCACATATTTACACCCATAACACACTTCATTCAAGTTGACGTGATCCTAACACTTTTAGTTTCTGACAAAAGCATAAAAACAGCAGCTCTATGTGGTGTCCGCGAGACCAGACCACAGACGCTGGACTCGGGAGCCGGAGCCTGTGCGCTCTGATTTGCTGTTTTGATCCGTCAATCACCTCCCGCCGGCTTTTAATTTATTTTTATTTTTATTATTTTTGACAAAAAACAGCATACTAATTGTGTATTGTTTACCCCGTTTTGACAAAAGTATTTAACAACTATTTTAAATACAAAGCAAACGGGGTCATGCGCGTCATGCGCGTCATCAGTGTGGTTTTCGTCACTGAAGTGGACCCGAGCGTTTCTGTGCCTCACGCTGGGGAAGGAGACAGATTGCTCTCTTACAAAAGATTGACAGAATCAATGAATAAACTACTGTGGGCTTGTGTATGAAGGCCAAATAGCATTGTAATCATGTTTAAAGCAGAGAAAAGTCAAAAACCGTGATATGGGCCCTTTAACCACAGTTGCTTCAAAGTGTTATAAAATATCCACACACAAAAATTATTTCGAAAGGCAAGTAGAGCTGCAACTAACGATTATTTTGTAATCGATTAATCTATAAATTATTTTTACGATTAATCGAGTAATCGCTTGGCTGTGAATTGTGTAGAAAAAAATTATTTTTTCATCACAAACAGCTAAAGTGGCAACACTCGAGGACGTATTGATGGCGTAAACTTAAAGTAAATGTTTGTAACAAGCTCTTTGTGCTAATTCTGCTCTGATTGGATGAGACAGACAGATATTCATGAAATTATAAAAACAAAGTCGGTTTTAATCAAAAATACTACATTTTTATGTCATTTTTGCTCTGTTTGAGTCCGTGTGAACCAGAAAACAATTAATCGATTACTAATAGTTGTCGACTATTTCAATAATCGATTAGTCGTCGATTAATTGATTAGTTGTTACAGCCCTAAAGGCAAGTTAGTTTGATCACCTTGTAAACATGTTTTGCTGCAGAAACATGTTAAGAAGGTAATACATTTAAATTGTCTTTCAAAAGGACCACAAAAAAACAAAAACATTTTAAGTACCTTCGTTAACACTAGGACTCCCAGAGAAATTCCCCCCAAAAAGTTTAGTTTTCCACCATTTTATTTTTATAATTATTTTAAGCTTAATTCACTTTTACTAAGTGTTAAAACCTGGGAATAGCAAAAACTGTTTGATAAGATGCTAATGCTAAAGGCCGAATGCTAACGGCTGCAGGTAAACAGTGAGTTGCTATGGTAACTAGGCTCTTCTCTGGTGGAAAGAACCAGAACCAAGACCATGAAAAAGGGCTTTTTTTTACTGCTACAGAAATGTTGTTACTTAACTACATTTTAATTTTAGTAATGTTAAAAGATACAGCTATATTTCAACAATAATAATAAAAATATATTTATTGTTAAAATAATAAAATACAAACAGAACAAGTCACAAAGTTATGAAGATGAAAAATGTATATGGGCTGAGAAATCACTTCCAAAACGACAACGCGTCAAATTGACTGCTCTGGGAGTTTTAGCGTTAAACACGTACATTACAAGTCCTGTCATTCACAATCAAACACGAGCGTACCGGGCGGGTCCAATGTCCGTGGGGGGTAATAAACGTCGCTCTCTCGCGTCATGTCGAGTGGCTCTGCTCTCGGGCTGCTCCGGTCGCCGAGTCCCCCGAGTCCCGCCTGCTCAGTCCCTCTCACCGCGGACCCGTCTCCCGTGGAGCCGTGCGTAATGCGTGCGTAATGCGTGCGTAAAATGGCTCATCTTCAGCTGAGCGCGCGCCTCGTCCCTGGTTCAGATCAGTTTCCTCAGGATCACTCCACGAGGGAAATGTGAGCCTCTGTTTGCACCGGGCACGACGCATGCGCAGTGCACTCAGCTGGGTATCGTGGTGTCAGTACATGATGGAGAGTGCTGCTTGTAGAGGTGATAATGTGATGTTTGTGCAAAAAGTGATGAAAGATAAGTCTAAAATGGCGAGAATAATTTGAGCACATTTTGACTGCCTTAAAACAAGATACAGACTTTATTTCAAGAACTTGTAGGCCATAAAATTGCTTTATTTTCTCATTCCAACAGAGACATTTCTTTTATTCTTTTAAAACAAGATCATTTTACTTTGTTCCATTGACAAATCTGGTTTTAAGGCTCAGTCAGAATGGGCCTTAAAACAAAATAGAGAAACCTTTTGACATTATTTCAATGTCAATTCAACAGAATAGTATAAAAGGAGAAATAAAAGATAATGCTTAGATCATACAAACATATATCAGTGGCACTTTGAGTTAATGTGAACTTCTGAATCACTGCATGTATTTGCGTCGGAGAAAATCAAGATTCATTTATTTTGTCTCTGAGGAAATTAGTCTTGGACTCAGAAGCCGCGACATAGAAAACACACATAAGACAAACACATAATACAAAGAATACCAGAGAGAGACCAGCGAGAGACCAGAGAGAGACCAGGGAGAGACCAGAGAGACACCAGGGAGAGACCAGAGAGAGACCAGAGAGAGACCAGAGAGAGACCAGAGAGAGACCAGGGAGAGACCAGAGAGAGACCAGAAAGAGACCAGAAAGAGACCTGGGAGAGACCAGAGAGAGACCTGCGAGAGACCTGCGAGAGACCAGAGAGAGACCAGAGAGAGACCAGAGAGAGACCAGAGAGAGAGGCCAGAGAGAGACCAGAGAGAGACCAGAGAGAGACCAGAGAGAGACCTGAGAGAAACCAGAGAGAGACCTGCGAGAGACCAGAGAGAGACCAGAGAGAGACCAGAGAGAGAGGCCAGAGAGAGACCAGAGAGAGACCAGGGAGAGACCAGAGAGAGACCTGCGAGAGACCAGAGACAGACCAGAGAGAGACCAGATAGAGACCAGAAACAAACACATAAGACAAAGAAACCAACACAGTAACACAGACGGTTGTTTCACGACGTTGAAGCATTTTTGTCACACACAACTGTAAATTCCACCCATACTTCCATTTTCTTCCACTTTCCCTGGTGCCGGGTCACAGTGGCAGCCGTCTGAGCAGAGACACAGACTTCCCTCTCTACCAGCTCATCTGGGGGAATCCTGGGGTCGTCGTTCTCCTTCCATTACTTTTCAATGACAGAAGCTAAAGCTGCTGTATCATATGAAACTCTGGGTGAATATCAGACAAGAACATCCACATTTTTACATAAAAATACGCACAAAATAAAAATTACATAACTACTATCATCACCAAAGACTGAACAGATATCGTGGTGATGTCCGGCTTTTTTCATTCCACTGGTTTGAAGATGACTTTCTCGCAGAATAGACTGTTGTAGCCTCTGCTCCTGAGGTCGATCTCGCTTATGCCACTTAATCCAAATCCTGCGTCGTGCCTCGGAGTCGGACAAGGATAGAGATAGAGTCACATTTCACTTTTATCTGATTTGAAAAGATCCTCCTCGGCTCCGCTCTCGACCCGGACTGAAACCTCACAGACTTCCCTTGTTCTGATTTATTTTTCTCTTGTACCTCAACCCTCTCCCTGCTCCTTGTGGAAAACTGAAAGTAAAAGTTCTGTTCCTGCTCCCTGGTGCTCCCACACTGAGGCTTTTCAAGACCAAAGACTTCCTTCAGACGTTCCCAAAGTGGAGCTCAAGGACCAAGATTCAGAATGTTCCGAGACCTGCCAACCCCATTCTGAACCTGCAGCATTGATGGGAGAAATGTTCTATGGCCTACAATGGCTTTACCAAATATAACAACTACATATAACAAACCCAAAAATGATAAGATAAAAAACGTTTATTAATCTCACAATGATATTAGGTAAATCTCCATTACTGTAAAAGAAAATAAATACTTTTTTTTTTTCTAAAGCTACAGATGCAAAATATGATCGTCAAACAATCAATCACTTACATAACTGTAGATAGATATTTTGGTCTTAAAGCGCAGCCTAAAATAATCCATCTCAGCCTCAAAGACATCGACAGAACCATGTGCGGACGAACCTTTTTAAACCACACATGTTTTTGTTCCGTTCCTCCAGCTCTGGATTGGCTGAATGCGTTCCGCGCTCACTGCTGCCTTAAAGCTGAACCACAAACATAAACCAAATATTTATTGTATACAAAAACAACGGTCAATTTCATTTCAATAAAGTCTGACTCAAACACGTTTACATCGGTCGCCTGTGGTCGTCTGTCGTCCGGTCAAACGTGTGGATTCTGTTTTTCAAGTGGCCGAGTTTCGCTTTCAAATAATCGCAGCGTTTCTTCTTCTCCCAGAAGGCCGGCTCCTGGAGGGAACGCAGACATCGTCAAAGAAATATATTTAAAAAAACAATAAACAGCATTTAACCCCAAAGAACACAGACATATAAAATATTTGTTGAAAAAATTATCCGCGCAATTTTTGGGCAGCAATATTCTACCACCATATTTGGCAATGTAGCATATTAGCTTCTTTGGGTTCTTGGGTGCAAACATTAGCGAAGGCATTGAACCAAAAAGACTTATTTTGTTATAAAACCAAAAACAGATATTTGTGATTACTTACATTCTTTTTCTCTTCGAGCTTTCGCAGTAAACTCTGGACCCTGTGTGGATTCTGAAACGAACAGGAAATGGAATGAATTGATGAAGTGATTTTGAGTCATAAATACGTAACAAATGATTACAATTCATACACACAGAGTAAGAAATGTGTAATGAATGTATAAGAACAAAGAAATAGGCAAGTAATCATAATAGTAACTGAGAGAGAGAGAGACCGGAGAGAGATCAGAGAGAGACCAGAGAGAGACCAGAGAGAGACCAGAAAGAGACCAGAAAGAGACCAGAGAGACACCAGAGAGAGACCAGAGAGAGACCAGAGAGAGACCAGAAAGAGATCAGACAGAGACCAGAGAGAGATCGGAGAGACTAGAAAGACTAGAGCTACCAGAGAGAGACCAGAGAGATCAGACAGAGACCAGAGAGAGATCGGAGAGACTAGAGAGACTAGAGCTACCAGAGAGAGACCAGAGAGACCAGAGAGATCAGAGAGAGACCAGAAAGAGACCAGAGAGAGACCAGAGAGAGACCAGAGAGAGACCAGAAAGAGACCAGAGAGAGATCAGAGAGAGATCAGAGAGAGATCAGACAGAGACCAGAGAGAGATCTGAGAGAGATCGGAGAGACAAGAGAGACTAGAGAGAGAGCAGAGAGACCAGAGAGAGATCAGAGAGAGACTAGAGAGAGACCAAAGAGACTAGAGCAACCAGAGAGCGACCAGAGAGCGACCAGAGAGAGACCAGAGAGAGATCAGAGAGAGATCAGAGAGAGACCAGCGAGAGAGACCAGAGAGAGCTGATGCTCCAAGGAGGGCCTAATGCACAATTTTCTTTCTGGATGAAAGAAGAATTTATCCATCCGTAATGTTGTACCTGTGCTCGGTCAGAGAGCAGCCGCTGCATCAGAGCGTCCAGGCGTCTGAACTTGGCCAGAGTCAGAGTGATGTCACCGTGCAGGTCCCTGTACTCTGGGTACTGGTCGTTAAACACTGCCCTGTACTCCTCCCTCTGCTCCACACTCTGGATCTCTGGGTACTTCCTGAAAACACACACAAGAACATAACATGCAGAGAAACCGGAGAGAGAGACCAGAGAGAGAGCCCCGTTAGAGACCGGAAAGAGACCAGAGAGAGAGAGACCAGAGAATGGCCAAAGAAAGAGACCAGAGAGAGACCAGAGAGAGATCAGAGAGAAACCAGAGAGATGGACCAGTGAGAGACCACAGAGGAAGAGAGACCAGAGAGAGGGAGATCAGAGAGAGAACCAGAGAAAGATCAGAGAGAGAGACCAGAAAGAGAGATTCCAGATTGGGAGACCAGAGAGAAAGACCAGAGAGAGACCAGAGAGAAAGACCAGAGAGAGACTGAGAGAGCTCAGAGAGAGACCAGAGAGACCAGAAAGAGACCAGAGAGAGAGACCAGAGAGAGACTGAGAGAGATCAGAGAGAGACCAGAGTGGGGGACCAGAGAGAGACCAGAGAGTTTTGCTTGAAGTGAACCAGACTAAAGGGTAAAGGCGTCCTGAGTGTAAATATAACAGTAGACTTTTCTCACATGATGTAGTCTGCGATGACAGACACTGGCCTCCTGGTGGCGCTGCCGTTGCTCCGGTCGGTCTCTTGTTCCACATGAGGTCTTTGAGAACCCACTGCGTCCGTTTGGTCCTTGAAGGAAATCCGCTTCGGCTTCTGAGTCTCTAACGGCGCAGAGACCTCAGTGGGCTGAAGACACACCAGACAGAACATAAAGTGTGAGCTGTTTCATGTTATATTTATGTTCTCTTCCATATCCTCGGTGCATTTCATTCTTTCACTTTGCTTTTGAAGCGATACTGTTGTCCACGGATCTACTCTTACTTGATTTGGGTGATTTATCTGTTGGTCATGGCTGTATTTGGCTGTTTTGCGTTTTTTAAAATGTACTTCCCCAAAAAATGTCTTGAAAAATGTTGACTTCCTCCATCGGACTCAGAGACCTCTGAGTCTTCTGAACCCTTGAGGGCCGAGCCTTCTGAACCCTTGAGGACCGAGTCTTCTGAACCCTAAAGACCGACCCTTCTGAACCCTGAGGACCGAGTCAGAACCCTGAGGACCAGCCCCTTCTGAACCCTTGAGGACCGAGCCTTCTGAACCCTTGAGGACCGAGTCTTCTGAACCCTAAAGACCGAGCCTCCTGAACGCTGTGGACCGAGCCTTCTGAACCCTGAGGACCGAGCCTTCTGAACCCTGAGGACCGTGCCTTCTGAACCCTGAGGACCGAGTCTTCAGAACCTTTAGGACCGAGCCCTCTGAACCCTGAGGACCGAGCATTCTGAACCCTGAGGCCCGAGCCTTCTGAGCCCTGAGGCCCGAGCCTTCTGAACCCTGAGGACCGAGCCTTCTGAACCCTGAGGCCCGAGCCTTCTGAACCCTGAGGACCGAGCCTTCTGAACCCTGAGGACCGAGCCTTCTGAACCCTGAGGACCGAGCCTTCTGAACCCTGAGGACCGAGCCTTCGCTGCAGCTTCCCCCACTCTCTGGAACTCACTCCCACAGCCAATCAGAAACTCCCACTCACTGCAGAACTTCTCAAAACCCACCTGTTTGAGCTGTCAAAAAGCTTATTATTAGTATTAGTATGATACCACTGACCACCACTGACCTGGTTCAGAAAGGCCTCCCTCTCTCTTCTCGCCGCCTCGTGCCTCCACATCTTCAGACAAACCAGGAAGCTGGCGAGATACAGCCCCATATCCAGGAAGAGAAAGGCCGTTCCTGCCGCCTGCCCTCCCTCCACCCGACACAGACTGGCCATTATCGGACTCATCCCAATTGTGGTGAAGCACAACCCGCCACGGTTCAAGTCATTCACGTAGACAATCCCCGCCGACATCATCAACAGAAAAACCACCATGTTTATCAATGCTTCCGTCAACGGCCACCAGGGGGAGTCCAGCAGAATGGTCCGATAATACATCGTCATTCCCACAACCAAAAGAACCAACGTAACGATCCAGGAAACTCCGGCGATGGCGAGCACGAACGCAGTCATGGGGCCGCCGTAGCTGTATCCGGACAACCCGTTATTGTATCCGCCGTTGTAATTCCCGAAAGCGTTGGTCCATTCGCTATTTTTATGAACGTACGCGATGATGCAGGCGAAGACCATCCCGCCAAACAGTAGCTGCAGCCCGGCTAGCATACGCAGCAAGCCTGGCCATGACTTTAAATACGAGTATTTCAAGTTGTAAATCTCGACTTTTTCGGCGTAGTCCTCCGCCGGGTGGATACTGGTGAGCAGCGAATCCTCGATATCGTATTTCAAGAAATTCTTCTCGGATGTTTGACTCGTATCGCTGAGATAAATACGTTTTCTCCCAAGTAAAGGGCTAACCGGCGGGCTAACCGGCGGGCTAACTCTCGTTCCGTTGGGGAGGATTTGGACCGTGCTTAAGCTAACATCGGAATCCTCGTCTTCTGTCTTTTTGTCGAGGCGTAGCAGAGTTTTGAATCTGCTTTTGAGACTTGACTTTTTCCCGTTTTTCGGCACATAAGGAGGAGTGCTGTCGGTCAAAGAGCTGGAAGAGTCTGGAGTTGGTTTGTGGTCGATCCAAACAGGTTTGTGATTGGACGTTTCGCTCTGGGAGGAGGTTTCGCTATCGCTGCTGTTCTTCTCCTGGATTCTCATGGCGAGGGTTGGGCTTAGAGTCAAATGCAGAATCCTGTCAGAGAAAAGAAATTGGTCATAATTTAGTTTAGCCTCCACTTAATAACAGATAATTAATGTGTTAGAGTTAGGGTTGGGATTATAGGGATAGGGTACACTAATTAGCACTTGATTAGCTCTAAATTAGTGAGGCCTAATCCAAAGTGTTACCAAGAACTGTAGTAAATGTGTTTAGCTTACTTGGTGTATTTGTAGTTTCATTAAAAAGATTGACTCCTTCTGGTTTCTTTGCAAGCTGCTGTTTTTACTGATTGACCGATAGACATCTTAAAACCATGAGTTATGTCTGTTTTGTTTCTGAGAAGGTATCAAATAAGTCTAAAGCGGAAGTTCAGAGTGCGAGCTTGTACACAGTGCCGGACTCATCTTGTGCAGCAACCCTCCTCCTCCCCATTACCACCTCAACTCTTTTGGTATACATAAAAAACATATCCAACATGCACCTTTAAGTCTATAACAATTATGTTTACGATTTTCAAGTAGCTTATCCAATCATAGAGCAGCATGAGGCCCTTGTTTGGGGGTTGCCAGTTTGTTAGAAGCAGGTACAAAAAGTAGCCAGACATAATACACAGAGTTTGTTCCAACCCCAGCAGGTGGATTGCATCAGTAATCCGTGCGTAGAAGCTACATGTGTCACAGGCAGGCATATGCAGGTTTCTTGTACTTTTCTTTTGCTTGTTTTTTTCCTGTACTTGTCTGGTCCACACTGGGGACTTTTGCACGTCTATTCCAATGTGGTTTTACT